AGGGGTTAGAGTGCTAGATAATCTGTGTGCGGATCTAGCACCTTCTAATTATGAGTCTGAGGACGATGATGTGCCCCTAGATGTTGCAGCTGCTAGTTCCGTTGAGCCCGGTTATGAGGACCGGGTGACAGAGCCCACTAAACCAAAGCCTAAGTGGAAACGGAAGATTTATCCCGATTCTGCAGTGCGTAGGAGTGCTAGGATTCGGACTTCTAAAAAATCCCATGACGAAATATGAAAGGAATCTTTTGGAATAGCAGAGGTCTGAAAGACTTGGCTAAAAGAAGGTTTCTTGCTGAGGCTTCTCTGGAATATTGGTTAGATTTTATTGCTCTATCGGAAACCGGTAGAGTTTCTATCCTCTCTTGCGGGTGGTATTGATTTCGATTGGCATTGCCTCCCTCCACGAGGAAGATCGGGAGGTATCTTACTGGGTGTGAGATGCGATTCCCTTGAAGTCCGGAGTGTAGTAATGGGCGACTTTGCGGTAAAGTTTCGAGTTAGGTCTAAAGTTGATGGGTTCAACTGGGCTTTGGTGGCGGTTTATGGTGCCGCACAGCCCGAGCTTAAACCGGAGTTTCTGGCGGACCTGGTTCGAATCTGTGGGTCCGAGCAGCTTCCGATTTTGGTCGGGGGTGATTTCAATATCATTAGGAGGAGAGAGGAAAAAAATAATGATAACTTTGACGGCAGGTGGTCGTTTATGTTCAATACCATTATTGAAAGCTTGGATCTGAGGGAGATAGAGCTTTCTGGTAGAAAGTTTACCTGGGCCAATGCTCTGCCAAATCTGACATATGAAAAGCTTGATCGAGTTCTCGCGAGCGTGGAGTGGGAACAGAAGTTCCCTCTTGTTACGGTACAAGCTCTCACGCGGGGAGTTTCCGATCACACGCCTTTGTTCGTCGACTCAGGGGAGCCGAACCATATGGGAAACAAAAACACCTTCTCATTCGAGATGGCTTGGTTCGAACGCGAGGGGTTCTTGGACCTAATAGCTAGGGAATGGGCTAAGGGTGTAGGAGGTAGGACGGCGGTCGAGCGTTGGCAGAATAAGATTAGGCATTTGAGAAGTTTCTTACGAGGTTGGGCTAAGCACCTCAGTGGGGTGTATAAGATCGAGAAGGATAGGCTCCTTTCTCTTGTACAGGCCCTGGACATAAAAGCCGAATCCGCGATTTTGCTGCCTCCTGAGCTCCAGGTTAAAAATGAGACGGAGAAGAGGTTGAAAGAACTTCTCTGCGAAGAAGAATTGAAGTGGGCTTTGCGAGCTAAGGTCCGCAAAGTGGTCCAAGGGGACGCGAATACTCAATTCTTTCACCTCATTGCTAATCGTAAGCACAGAAAGAAGCGGATCTTTCAACTTGAACAGGATGAGGGTACTATTTTAGGTCATGATAATCTCAAAACCTATATTACCGATTATTATAGACAGTTATTTGAACCTCCGGAGGATAATTGTGTGTCCCTCGATGAGTCCAGGACTGAGGATGTGCCTCAATTGTCTGATGCCGATAATGATATCCTGGTTGCCCCGTTCACAAAAAAGGAGGTGTTTGATGCTATTGCACTAATGAAAAATAATAAGGCTCCCGGACCGGATGGGTTCCCTGTCGAGTTCTATAAAAAGTGCTGGCACATTATTAAGGGGGATTTACTACCTATGTTTCATGATCTATTCTCTGGACAGCTTCAATTATTTCACTTGAATTTTGGAACTATCACATTGCTCCCTAAGAAAATGGATGCTGTGAGAATTGAGCAGTTCAGACCGATCTGCCTCCTCAATGTTAGTTTCAAAATCTTCACCAAGGTCGGGACCAATAGGCTCACACAGATTGCGCATTCTGTGGTGCAACAATCCCAAACTACTTTCATGCCGGACAGGAACATCCTTGAAGGGGGGTCGTTCTTCATGAAACGCTCCATGAAATCCACTCCAAAAAATTAGATGGGGTAATTTTTAAGGTGGATTTCAAAAAAGCGTACGATAAGGTCAAGTGACCATTCCTCCAACAGGCATTGCGTATGAAAGGTTTTGATGAAGCCTGGCGCCGACAGGTCGAATCCTTTACGCAAAAAGGGAGTGGGAATTAAAGTGAATGACGATATAGGTCATTTCTTCCAGACACATAAAGGCCTCAGACAAGGAGATCCGATGTCCCCTATCCTGTTTAACATTGTGGCGGATATGTTAGCAATTTTGATAGGAAGGGCTAAGGAGAATGGTCAAGTGGGTGGTTTGGTACCTCATCTTGTTGATGGAGGTGTATCCATCCTTCAATACGCTGATGATACCATCATCTTTATGGAGCATGATTTGGCCAAGGCGAGAAATATGAAGCTGGTGTTATGCCTTTTTGAACAATTGACCAGGTTAAAGATTAACTTTCATAAGAGCGAGTTGTTCTGCTTTGGTAGAGCCGAAGACGAACAGGAGTCTTATAGGCAATTGTTTGGGTGCGAGTTGGGGAGTTTACCTTTCACATACCTTGGTATTCCGATACACCATCGTAGGCTGACAAACAGAGAATGGAAGTGCATCGAGGATCGATTTGAGAAGAAATTGAGTTGCTGGAAGGGTAAGCTCATGTCATACGGAGGCCGTTTGATCTTGATTAATTCGGTGCTCACGAGTATGCCTATGTTCCTCTTATCGTTCTTTGAGGTCCCAGTTGGTGTTAGGAAAAGACTGGACTTCTATCGGTCGCGCTTCTTTTGGCAGGGTGATGAACTTAAAAGAAAGGGCTTGCTAAATGGGACATCATCTGTCGACCGAAAGACCAAGGGGGTCTTGGTATTGAAAATCTTGAAGCTAAGAACAGATGCCTTCTTAGTAAGTGGTTGTGGAAGCTTTCTTCCGGGACTGAGGCCATATGGGCGCAGATCCTCCGCGGCAAGTACCTCCAGACTAAAACATTGTCCCAGGTCACAGTCAGGCCGACTGATTCGCCTTTCTGGAAAGGACTATTGAAAGTCAAACAATCAATGTTCAATAGGACGAGGTTTGTTATTGGAAACGGTGCAAGTAGACATTTCTGGGAGGATACTTGGCTTGGCGACTCACCTTTGGCCATTCAATATCCGTCTTTATATCAGATTGCTCAACGTCGTGAGGTGTTCGTGGGAACAGTATTTCACTCTATCCCCCTTAATATTCAGTTTAGACGGACGCTAGCGGGCAATCGTTGGGAAGAATGACTCCATCTAGTTAGGAGACTGATGGAGGTTCAATTTTCTCACCAACCTGATGAATTACACTGAAAGTTGACTAGATCAGGAGTATTTTCAGTTAAATCAATGTATATTGATATTATTAATTCGAACTCCATTCCAACTTCCAAGTATGTCTGGGCTGTCAAAGTCCCTTTAAAAATTAAAGTGTTTATGTGGTTTGTCCATAAACAAGTTATTTTAACAAAGGACAACTTGATAAAGCGTAATTGGACAAGACCTACTAGGTGTAGTTTCTGTGATCGGGATGAGACGATCAAGCATCTATTCTTTGATTGCCCATTGGCCAAAGTTCTTTGGCGGACGGTCCATATTGCTTTCAATATTACTCCACCGAATTCTGTCAACGCATTATTTGGGAAATGGCTTAATGGGGTTGAGCCTGACTTAGCACAACATATTCGGGTTGGAGTTTGCGCTATGTTGTGGACTATCTGGAATTGCAGAAATGATTTGGTTTTTAACAGAACATCACGGATTCATTTTTTGCAGGTTATTTTCCGAGCTACAGCAGTCATCAGTTCGTGGTCGCTACTCACTCCGATGGAGGCCAGGGAGCATTTGATTACTGGATCCATCCGTTGGGAGATGGTAGCTCGGGATATCTTCAACCGGTTTGGATGGCGGTCATGTAATAGGATAGGCAATTAGTTTATCTATCGTTTTTAGCCGGCCGGTTGTGGCGTCTTTTCCTGGCTAGTTTGTGTATCTAGCCTTTTAGGCTCTGTGTGAGCCGTCTTTTTCTTTTTTCAGATGGAGACTTTGGAACCTTGTTGGCACTTTTTGTTATTTGGTTAATAAGATGGTTGTATGCATCATTCTGATGCAGAGGCCGGGGAGCCCCCCTTTTCGAAAAAAAGAAAAAAAAAGAAAAAAAGCTGTCTCACAATAATACGATCTATTTAAATTTCATTATGTCATTATAATGTCACAATTATCATTATTTCCTACTCTTGTTAGGATGGACGGGTGTGGCAACACGCATCGATATTTTCTGGTATACCCCTAACAAGGAATTAACAAATCATTTAATCAAAATCTGATTGACATGCACTTGCATTGACCAAGGTTATTTCTCTCGTTCTCGTTTTTTCACCCTTTGGGGTCGGTTAAACTGGTAACCGCGAATCTTGAAAATTTCAGTTTTTCTTTTCATCTCAAACTAATCAAACAAACTTTCAATTCAAAACCTCCTTTAATATACACAAAGTTGCCATTGAGCAAGTTGTTAGTGCAAACTGCAAAGACTTTCCATCTCAAGGTCCCTGGTTCAAAACCTCCTTATCGCGCCCCCGACACCTTTTTCAGCTGCGAGCATGACTGTGCTACATTGCAATGTACCATTTTCACATCTAAATTCAAAATTTTGGAACGGTAATAAAATTTCCGGGGCGCAACTGAAATTTTGACAACCGAACGGTTAACGGGAAACATGACAAAAGAACCCTTGGGACTGACCATTGAATCAACTTAATGCTACATATTAAATTGTGTAGAACAATGTACCACAAAAAATCTCTAATTTTTCTATGTCTAGCCACGCAGATAGACGAATCACTCAGGTAGTTCTGGCTTCTGGGGTCACTTAATTCATACTGTATGTGAAACTTACATAAAGTGTACTCCCTCGGATCCATATAATACGGATCGAAGAGAGTGTCATGATTTGCATTGTTTATTTGAGGCTCTTCCCTCTCCACACCCTGCGAAAAAACATTAGACAACTAGCAAGGATATACGTACGGTGTAAACTGCGATCGAAAATTCTACACATCCTTCTCGGAGATCGGCTCAGTGAGCTTCAGACCCCAAGACATGTCTTCGCAGGCCCGGACATGAGGCACCAGATTACCCGTGTCGAGGAGTTTGTCGACCTCTTTCCTGGTGCACTCGAAGTACGGCGGCCCCTGAGCACACGGCTCCATGGACATGGCCCGTTTGCACGGCGGGTCGGGCACCTCCTCGTTCTCCGGCTTGATCATGATGTATGGCGTGAGCCCGCCGAGAGCGGTGCCGACGTACCCGAACGTGGACCAGCCGCTGGTGACGATCTTGTCGGTCATGCTCAGCAGGTACATCTCCGCCAGCGCCTTCATGTCTTGCATCCGGTGGAACATACGCTGGTGCTCCTCGCGGCTCGGCTGGTGCACGCTCACCACCTCCCCGTTCGCGCTCGCCGACCGCCAGTACATCTCCCGGATGCTGTCGTGGTACCACCCGTTGAGGCCCGTCACGAGGACGGCCTTGGACCGCGCGCCGGCCGTCGTCGTCGGCGGCGGGCGTAGTGCTTCTCCTGATCGTGATCCTCCCACGCTCGGCAGCACCCCCGGCAGGAGACGCTCTTGAGAGGTGCACGCGAGGATCTGATCCAAGATGTGCTGGACCGGCTTGTCGTCCTTGACAAAGACCCTGATCTGAATGCCCAGCCGCTCGTCGGCGCCCTTGAGGTAGGAGTCGTAGAACCGGGTGACCATGCCCCAGACGTCGTTGGTCGGGTGGAGAAGATACCTCGAGACGATGTAGAAGACGGAGTCTTTCCGGGGGAACATCCGGTGGAGCTCCTGCTTGTACGCCGGGTTGAGGAAGAGGACTGGCGCAATGTAGCCGTCCGTCCTCATGACCACCCACTGGACCCGGTGGAGGAACTGCCGGTGGTCGTCGCAGTAGGCGAGCTTGTTCTCGACGGACGCGGCGTGGTCGAGGTGCATGTACACGAAGCGGTGCTCCGACGACTCGCCGGTCTCGTTGCGCAGCGTCGTCACGTTGCCGTAGCTCTCCGCCGCGTCCTCGCCCAGGTCCTTGTAGCCCTGGAGCGGGAAGTCGAGGGGCAGCAGCCACGTCGTCCCCGGGAACGGCTCGCAGAAGAGGTCGCCCATGGTCTTTCCCCGGTCGACGAGCAGCACGCGGTCGGTTAGCATGGCGTAGAGGAAGGCCGAGGCCGCGGCGAGTATCCGGTTGCCGAGGCCCCGGTAAGACAGCAGCACGAGGTAGCTGCAGCCGTCGACGGTGTCGACGTTTTTCTGCCCGGATTTCAGCCTGTCGGAGGCTCTCCGGTACGCGTCGGTGCCCGGACCGCAGCGCCGCTGCAGCGCCTCCTGCCGCCGCAGCCGGTCGATGAGATACGGCGTCGGCGAGCGTGTCATGTTCTTGCGGTAGTACACGGACTGGTAGCGGCTGGCGCATGATTGTTGGTCGAATCCTGAAAGGAGAAGGCCCCCCAGAAGCACGTCTTTCTTCTTGGATGATTCTGCTGCAGGTGGATCAGAATTTTAGGCAAAGTAACACCAAAAAAAGACTAGGTACTGCTAGTCAGCTAGTGCAACGACGAGCATTCGTAGCATGAAAGAACCAAACTGATGAAAAATACACTTGCACAAGCAGTAAACACAGACTGCCACCCGCAAAAAAAAAAAAAAGTAAACACAGACTGCAATTACCTCCTCGCGCTCCTAATCCGGCCACGGTAGATTTGATCCACACCGCCGGCGCGTCGAGGTGGCCACTGAAGATGAAAAGGATGGGCGGGATTGTCATGATCAAGGCCACCGCCACGGCATTCGCCCCAGAGCTCCATCGCCTGGGGTTGGCGATGGACGCCTTGTCCGCCTTCTTCCCTGTGCAAGGCGAGGCCTCCTCAACCTCCAGCCAGCTCGACTCCTCTCTGCTGCATTTCTTGTCCATCTTGGGTTAGCTTTCTCTTGCAGTGGCTTCCTAGCTATGTGACCTTCAGTGAAACGTCTCTACGTTAACAAACCAGTGTTTGCAACAAGAGATCGTGTGTAGTTTCCTCTTGAGATCTGTACTTGAGAAAGATGATGATGAGTTGACCGCCCCAAAACACACAATTTTTTGCTAGACTTGGCGCCAGGGTAACCATGTTGGCCTAGTTGGTTAACGGTGCAGTGCTAGATGCGTGTAGTTGGCTCATTGGGCTGGTTGAATCGTTTGCTCACTTGTTTTCAGGGAATCAGTTGTTAAATGGACAGATCCATGGAAGCGCGGCGACATTGCGCTCCACCGACGTTCGATGCAGTACTGGCAGTTCGATGCAATCTACGATACATTAACTAGCGCATCGGCCGGTGCCCGGTGAATTTGAGCACATGGTGCACGCGCGCGCATCCGTTGATGGCTTTGGTGAGACCGCGAGAGAGGTCAATTGGGCGACCAAATAAGCCAAGGAAGTGGAGGGAAGAAAATAGGAATGGGAATGAAAGAAATTGACTGCTATCTTATTTCTTTCTATAAAAAAAATTATCGGATGTGAAAAAAAATGTAGAGATTATGAAGATAAATACAAAAAATTGATGTGGCTAGGCCTCAGTCGATTGAGACTTAACAAAGTCGTCTCAGTCAAGTGAAATAACATGTGAGAGAGAAAAAAAGAAAAATCGAATGGAAAAATTTGCACGGATCTCAGTGTAAGACCTCACGAATATAGCACCGATTTAGACAAAACAAAGTCTCAATCGTCCGAGATTTAGCAAGACTGTACAAAAAAGTATAGCTGGAAATGAACACATAACAAAAATTAAGCGGTCAAGGATACAAAAGTGGAACTTTGTCAAAATTCAAAACCCCCTTGAACCATAGAAATAAAACAACCAAGACAATAAACGTGATCACTTGTTAAGATGACTACATGTAACAGGTTCGTAAGTTGTTGCAAGACTTGGTGTGAAGAAGTGGAAATAACCACTAGGAGAAAATGCGCCATTTGTCCCAGTTCCAGAGGCCTATTAGCCCCGATTTTGGAACCGGGACTAAAGGGTCAGGACTAAAACCCAAAAACTTTAGTCCTGGTTCGCTTATGAACCGGGACAGAAAGGGCTTCACGTGGCCACTGCGGGGTGCCCAGGAAGGAGGATCTTTAGTCCCGGTTGGTAATACCAACCGGGACCAAAAGGCATCCACGCGTCAGTATATGGCAGGAGCTGTGGTTTTTGTTTTTTTAAGGGAGGAGGGTTTAGGGTTTTTTGGAGGGTTAATTTAGGGGTTTCATATATTGTGTTAGCTACCTAATAGAGAGAAGTGACCTCTCTTTATCTTCGTGCTTGGTCGACGCTAGCTACTGTACGTATAGAGAGAACTCGACATGCTAGCTAGTAAGCAAATGAAGGAACCATTAAGTACACAAGATCGTCATGAACATATACAGAGAGAAGTGACCTCTCTTTCTCCGAGAGATTGGTCGAACAACAAGTTTTCGTATATCTATCCGACGCTACTGCTACATATATACAATATAAGATCTCTTACAAACCCTAACATCTAAGGTCTATTTCAACTTTCATATGGTATTCTCCGGCTTTATTTATGACGTGGTCAAGAAAGAATCCCGACAATTCATCTTGAATAGCTCGTATGCGATCATGTCGTAGGAGTTCATCCCGCATCTGCCACATCTAATTTAAAGAAGTGGGTCAATACATATATATGAATGAAACTCAACACAAATGATGGTAATAAAATAAATTTGTGAATTCTTTTGTTTATTTACCTCATATTATTTTTCAGAGTAGCTCCACTTAGAGGTGTCTAGTTGTAGATGAACTCACAAACATAGTATCCACAAAAATCATTCCCGGCTTCCTGCCAAAAGCACTTTATGAGAAATAGAGTTCAATCAAACTGATAATCAAGCATGGTAAATGGTATTGATTAAACTAGCTAGAATCAACGAGAGATGCGCAGAACCAGCTAGTAGTACTTACTTTCGGGTGTTTAAATTGCAACTCTGTCGGCAGTCCCGGCGTAATTACGGTGAAGTCTTTCCAAAACCTGCCAGACAAAGAGAATAATTACTTGATATCAGGAAATGAACAAAGTTGCCGATATGGTGCGGTAATGATCGACTGAACTTACTTCTGGAGCATATCAGTCATGTCCGCATACTCCTGGGGATATTTTCTTCTCGAGTCTAAGGCAAGTACTATATCAGCTTCAAGCTTAATCTCTAGCAAGATAAAGTGGAATCTGCGCACGCATGCATAACTCATCAATTACATTACTATAATTAACCTCGAGTAAGGGAAACCGAATATGCACAAGACAGTAACACTCACTTGAACTTGTAAGGAAAGAGTATTTTATCTTTGTTTTGATTTTTAAGCAACGATTGTAGCAAGTTGTCCTCGGTTTCAGAGACATTGTGTTTGACCGTCCATTCATGTACGATATTTGGGTTAATGAACCCAATGTCATAGATATCTGCTTTTCTGCATTCGACGATCTTCAACCTGCATAATATAGTGAGGATAATTATATATACATGCAAATGAAAGAGCTAAGCTATATATAGAGACTTAATTATTACAGAAGTAGTACTTACAGACAGTAGCAAGTCACGAATATTTTGTCGAGGGCCTTTTGATTGTATAACTGGAATAAATCGTCAAATTCAACATTCAAAATATCCATTCCAACGAGGTCGTGCTCCTCTTTAATTCTCATCGTCAATGTATGCTTCCCAGACTTGCGGCATCTTTGCATGTACCATTCATGGAGTTTTCGCATCATCGTTGTTAGAGAAGGAGGACGATCAGGTTTTACGAGAGGCTGCCCGTACTAGAATCTGAATTCGTCCACCTCCATTGTTTCAAACTCTATATCATCGGTCAGGTAATCAGTTGGATTGGTAATGGGCACCATCCCCGGATGATTAGCGCCGATATAGCTATACACCTTGAGCGGGGGGCACGTTTGCTTCGCCTAGCTGGGGAATATTTTTCCCACTTCTTCGTTCTGCTAACCTTGCATCACTACAAGTACTTCCCGACCGCTCCGCTTCCTTATATGCCTTTTTAATAGTGCACACATAGTTGGAATCCGGCAGAGGCGGTGGTGGTCGCTTCAGGGCATCGATAATCCGCTTCACTTTCACCGGATCTATTGTTTTCTTCGGAGGTGGAGGTTTCCGTGCAAAAAAGTACCTCACTTGGGCACGACTGATATCCTCGTTTTCCTTGTCAGTCCTCTCATATGGTAACTTTTCCGGAGCCTTGAGAGATGGATCGTACTTGAATTGCTTAACTCCTCTGCTTGTACTGCTAGCCGCCGGAGCGACGGCCTCTCTCTCCCACCATTGCTGACGCGGTGCAGTCCTCTGACACGCCAGAGGAGGCAGAGTGCTTCCACGCGCCAGAGGAGGCGGAGTGCTCCAACGCGCCGGAGGAGGAGGAGGTGGAGCCATAGTTCCCTCACGCGCTGGAGGAGGCGGAGTGCTCGTCGAAGGAGGCGAAGAAGGAACCGAGTGTTGTCACGTGCCGGAGGAGGCAGATGAGGAGGCGTAGTTCCCTGATCACTTGTCGGAGGAGGAGGAGGAGTGCGCTGACTCACCGGAGGAGGGGGGGGGAGGCGGAGGCGTCCAGTTTGGAAGCTTGATGTACTCCTTCCGCCATAGACATGGAGACTTTAGAGCAAGACCCAGTTGAATCTCCCCTTCACATGTAGGGTGGTCAAGCTTGAGCTCCTAAAATCCCTCCATTACTTCATCCGCCATCACAACAGCATATCCCTGTCTAATCGGACGGCAGTGAAAAGTTCCGTCGGGTTGAGGAGGTGGAACAGTGCCGATGGCCGCCTTCAAGGTGATGTTTTGCCATTTCGTCATAAGCTGGCAATGTTGAGCCTCCGTGATAGCATCCACGGGATAGCTAGGAGCCGTGAAGTCAGGCTGCTAAACGAGCTCTATGGAAGCCACGCTGCTTCTTTGCTGAGATGGCAGGGTACCTTCTGGGGTAACTTCGTGCCGCTGAGATGGTTGGTCGGCAGCTTGCTGGCTCTCAACTTGTTCCTCTAGCTTTAGTACTCTTGCATTGAGCTTATGTATATCGCTCAGCTCCTGTTCCCTCTTCCTCTCCCATGTTTTGCAACCGCCTATGCCGGGAAACCCAATCTTCCACGCAAAGGAGCCTGGCGTGCCTTGTGTTCGTCTATGGTGCTTAGGATTCTCGAGGGCCTCAGACAACTTGTCATTCTATTTGTCAGGAATGAACGTCCCTTCGCGCACTGCCTTGATTGTTGCTTGAAGCTTCGTGGCGGGTATTGCAAGTTGCTTGTCCGTCCAACGACACTTCTCTGTTTCAGGGTTCAAAGTTCCCCCAACCTCGAAGAACCAAGTCCTTGAACGGTCTGGCCAGTTCAATGTCTCTGGTTCGACCCCTTTAGCAATCAGGCCAGTCTCAGCTTTGTGGCACAACGGCCGGGCTTTGAGGTAGCCGCCTGACCCCATGCGATGGTGATACAGCTTCTTTGCATCATTTATATATCTTGTTTATCTCTGACATTTTCTTACTCTTGTCCGATGTCTTGTAGGCCACAAATGCGGGCCAGTGATCTCTTATCTTCTCAAATTGGTCGGTGAATTCTGGAGTCTTCCTTTTGTCAACATACGTTTATTTCAACTCTTTCTTCCACCTCCTGAATAGATCTGCCATCTTCTTAAGAGCACACGCCTTGACCAGTGGCTCTATAACTGGCTTATTCGGATCCTCCGCTGGCAGTAGGGTGAAATTTGCCTTCAGCGAGGTCCAAAGATCATCTTTCTCTCTATCGGTGACATAAGAAACTTGAGGTCTTCTTTCTTAGGCTTATTCCATAGCTGGATGCTGACCGGGATGTTGTCCCTAACAATAGCTCCACACTGAGCAGAAAATGCATCCTTGGTCCACCTGGGTTCA